AAATCTAGTAAAGTTGAGGGTGAGCAGATAAATAACTGTATGTGGTACTTCAGTGACCTGTGAGGAGGCTCAAAAGCCATCAGTAGTTTTGATGATTTATGTCTAGTGTAAAGAAGTTTGATTAAGTGCCCCCTACCTGTCTGCTTCTTGTGGCCCACTCTATCATGTCTTCTGATAAATACAATTGTTGACCATGTGGAAAAAATGGGGAAAATTCTCCTATTTTTACTTTAGTTCTGAGACCTTGAGAGAAACACAAAATGTTGAAAATGTCATACTGTCCATGAGGTTTTTCTTTCTGATTCATAGTCACTGTGTCTCCAGCAGGATTAATAAATTGGATCTTCTTCAGGAAGGGGTGCAGCTGAAAATTAGGCATAATTTGATCATGAAATATTCCCACATTTAAGATAGAAAACCTGAAGTTCTTAATGCACTTCATTTTCTTTAATCTTATCCTCACAGTGTAAGTTCATTGGAGAAAAGTCAGTGAACGAATAGGGAGAATTATAACTGTCACTGTGAGTCTAAAACATTAGTCTTGGGATAAACTGCCCAAACAAATTAATAGCAAGGTAATAAATAACCATTCTACTGGTTTACAGGTATGTATGCATTTCCTATATCACTGTTTTAACAGTGTCAGATAACAAATTGCAATCGTCAGTACCTAAAGTTCCTGGATATCACCCATGTAAACTACCCATTTTATTAATGAGTATATTATGAAGACTTAAAGAACAAGTTATTTTCTTTTATCATTGAAATAGTTCCTGATCAAAACAATGGGTTGTCTGCTTTCAATTTTAAGATGATAAGAGAAGGCATGATGTTTATGTCTTCTAACAGAAGTTACTGTTTCTTTTACAAAATGTCTATGTTAAATTCCACTCTTATTTATGATGTGTATCCATGTATAGACTTACCTACTAGACATTGAAAAGGCACTCAAATTTTTATACCTGTAAGAAAAGCTAATATACCATTTGAGTGTATTGAGCAGATAAGTATTTTGGCACTCTGAGGAAAGGCACTTTAGTGACATTGCATAGCATACAGTGGGAGCCACACTACCTGCCAGTGTTGAAATTTCAGTTTTTCCCCAGCTACTGGCTGCATATCTACATGATAAAGGAGCATCTCATGGAGGGAGTGGGCCACAGCATACACAGCATTGTATATATTGTAGCTTTCATCACTCATGGCCATGTTAAAATTGTGCCACATTAACGATTCAAATGAGGTGTTGGATGACCAATCCTTCAGTGTCTTGAAGTTATTAGATGCCACTGAACAATTAAAACCTATCCACCCCAGGCTAGTCAGAGTAATTTTTTCAGAGTGGTCAGAAAGTTTCAACGTCTGGATAAAATTTTTAAACCCAGAAATTTCACCATGATGATGTGAAAAAGTGAATGTCCCAAGGGATGAGTCAATGTTGAAATCTCTCTGATTGATGACATTATCCCATTGTGAGGTGCTGAACCAGATTCTCCTTATGCCTAAATATTTCCACCATCTATAGCTTTCAGCTAGAGTAGAGTTCACATTACCATAAATGACCACAACATTTGCTGATGATGTCATGATTTGTTCATAATATATGTGAGCTCTTGTCATGTATAACTGCATTCTTAGAGGAATCATGTTCACAAAAGCTAAGCAGACTCTGTTTTCTTTCATTTGTCCCCTAAAGTCTGAGAGAAACTGAACACCTTGTTCATCATCTGAGACAACCAGTCCCACCCAGTTCCAGCTGAAATGAGCCATCAAGGAGACCATAGCAGAGGCCAGATACGTGTCTTTGGGTTCCATCTGATACAGATAGGGAAACTGTTCATCATCACTCAGGATAGAATAGAAAGATCCAAAGGCAATCTAAAGGACACAGAACACAGGAAGCTGCATTATAAAGAGGATTATCAGGAACATCAGTCCAAGACCTGAAGTGTGTTTAGCACCAGCTGGAAGTGCAAAAAGGAAAATTTGCTCATGTCAATCGAATCTGATTCCAATTTCTGAAATATTCTAGGCAACTGCAAACATAGCAATGTTTTCTGCATAATCTTTTTTTAATTATTCCCCTTTTCTATTTCTTACAATGCCTCATAAAATCATTGAGTATTTGGCCCTTGATCTATATAGCTTGGAACTGGCATAAACCCACTCTACTCCTCTCATGCTTTCTAGACACCTGAGTATGGCATCAAATTAGACTTGTTTTCATTTCCCCTTTCAGACCCAACCTCACCTGTGGGTATTTTAAAACTGTGAAGTATAATCCCAGTCTGGAAGATGATGACCATAATGGTCCTGTAAGTACTGCTATAATCGATGCCTTTGTTATGCAGGTGTAATTAGGAACACCCTCGCCATCTTTCCCAAGAGAAATGAGTGTGTCAGACAACACAATCGCATCAAAATTCTTGTCAGAAAGAGTCCAAAATATTAGAGTGATGTTGGGTAACAAATGGGTGTTCCTGTTGATCTCCTTAGTTGCAAGTCTCAAAGCCAGAACAAATTGGTAATCTTGGGATGACTGCCTGAAAAGATGACAGTGATCAATTGAAATAAGACTTAGATATAATATGTTGTGAAAGGCCTTCTGAATAGTTTTTCTCCAAAATTCTTATTTTGAAGCCATCATTCGAATCCTGATGGCATGAGAACATGACATATTTTGGAAAAGATGTCTCATAATTGAGATTTCCATTCTGTTTAATACCCATAAAGATCAGATTTAATTTCACTGCTGTAGAATTAGAACACTACATGCCAACCACAGATAGAAAAGCTCAGTTTCTAGACAGCAGACTTGCCAATGTCTTGACCGTGAATTCTTCTTCTCCAGAAATACAAAAGGAAAGTGTTTTCTATACCAGCTACATTATAGTATTTCCTATGTAGCAGTCTACACCAGCTGAGAGCATACCTTTTGAAACAACTCATAAATGGCTCGATGTTACAGACAATACATTTCCCATAACCATCCTCCCTCCTGTTTTCCTCTCCCTCACATTATGTCAGTATTTTAAAAATTCATATATTGTCCTGAAATGGTGTAAGATCAAAGGCTATAATTATTTCTTTATAATAAATTGAACTTCATTTCAATATAAATTGAACCTCTGATTATAGTGACAAATTTTACCTTTATTTCATTAATTTGTAGCCATTATTTTCACCCTGGTTTTATTTGGTTTGGTTTATAAAGTAGTATACCTGTGTAGCTTCTGTATTACCTTTAGTTTTGGATTTCCATAGATTTATATTTTTATTTCATACATCTCCTATCACAGGATATAATAAAATGTATAATTTTCCACCAAATTTGACATTTTAAAGTTATCTCATTCAATTGCCTTTTTTTGATTATGGAAGTTCTCTGAAGAATGAGTCGCCAGACCAAAACTGCTGTGATTTAACTTGCATCTCAAATACTGAAAATTTCACAGTTCTTTCATCTTTGATATGTGGGAAGAAACCACTATACCCAAGAAATGACGTATAATAAAGATGACAAATATATCTAGCTATTCCATGCTAATGTGATATAACTTAATCTTTCATATAAAGTACATTAAAATGGAATTACAGTTGAAATCCAACATGTTAAAATATTCTAAATCATTCCATGATAAACTGGACTCAGAGAAATAGAAATGCTCCTGAGTTAATTCACAAGTCTTCTGGTTAGGAACTCACACATTTTTCTATTAGAAATTTGCCTAAAGCAGAAATATAGAATATACCCTTTCTCCAACACATAGAAAGTCAAAAAAAGATATTCTTTCATTCATAATGAAAAAAGAGAAATATGAACAACATAAACAGAGAAGTTCAAATATTTAACCACATGCTAAAGCATGCATTGGAGAAGAGAAGGCCTCATCAACAAATGGTGCTGTTAAACCTGGATAGCTTAATATCAGATCAGAATCTCTGTGAGTACCTGAGGAAATCACAGGATAAACACATGAGCAAACACGCACAGGCAATATTTCCTGAGTCTGATTTAAGCAACTAAATATCAAAGTCCATAACTGAGATTTATGAGTATGTGAAATCAAAAGACTTCTGCGCAGCAAGGAAACATTCAATGCTGTGAAGAGGCAGCCTTCAAAGTGAGGATACTTTTGCCTGGCATAATTCTTGGAGAGGATTAGTATTCAAAAATGTATAAAATCTTCCAAGTGTGTAAAAGAAATGAAGGCTCAAACTAATTTATAAATAGAAAATGATGAAAACAGACACATCTTAAAAGAAGTGCAAATGGCCAATAACGTTGTGAAATTATTCAGAACCATAGTTATCAAGAACGAAGATCAAAATGGCAGTTAGATACCACAGAATATTATTGACTAAAGAACAGTATCAAGTGCTAGTGAGGATGTGTAGGAAAATGAAGACATTATAAATTAATTGTAACAAGAACAATTGCTACAGTCACTGTAGTTAACTTTGGGGAGTTTCCCTCATAAAGTCAAAATGGAAATAAACTAAGTTGGAGCCATACTCCTCAGGGGAATAAAACTCTTGGGAAACAGAGTCAGTATATGTAAGTGATCCCTGCATATTAACAGTACCAGTAATATCGCTTTGCAGTCCACTGGAGTATCTGCCAATACAAGGATGGACAAGAATTAGTGATGTGCCCAGCAGTTAGTCCACAAGGAAACATAGTATTGCACTGTAGTCATAGTAGAAGATAGAATAAAAACAAGATGACCTGAAAATGGCAGAGGCTCCTCTAGTCCACAGTGGGACAACAGGGATAAGTCAGTGTAATAGAGGGTGGTAAAGTTTGGATATGAACATACATGTTTGCATACACAGACCAATATGTGCACAAATGGCTCAATGAAATACATGAATGCAGAAATTTAGTGTTTTAAGAATTATAATTAAAGGCAAAATCAGAAAGATGCAAAAAACATTAGTTCAATTAATGATTAATTTGTTTGCTTTTTTTTTTTTTTTTTTTGGTCTTTTTGAGACAGGGTCTCCTTGTAGCCCCAGCTGACCTGGAACTCACTGTGTAGACCAAACTGGCCTCAAATTCACAGAGATCTGCCTGCCTCTGCCTCCTGAGTGCTGGGATTAAAGGCATGCACCACCACACCTGGCACCATTAATGATTAAATTCTTTAAATAAATTTCCATTATAAATATTTCTTCTTCTAGATTGTATATGGAAATCAGTAGTATGATGTTTCTTCATGTCATCACACATATTTTCTTACTGGAAACATGTTCATATAAAATTTCAGCAATGCTGACAGGATGCATGAAACTCATGAAGACTCAATCAGACAAAAACCCAGCATAAAATGAGGGAAATGGTCCACAAGTCCCAACCAGAGCCACGGAACTATTGGTAAATGATTACTGTGTGGTGAAGCAGAGTAGATCTTTTTTAAGGGAGTGTCTCTAAATAGACTGACTAGACTCCAGTGGATGAACTTGCATGGAGGGACACATCGATAGAAATGCTTGATGGATAAGAATTAACCTATAGGAGAGAAAACTTGAAATCTGGCAGCGGGGGGTTGGGGATTTATGGAGGGTAGGAGGAGAAGGGAAGGAGGGTGTCTTTGATTATGATATATTACATAAAATGTACAGAAAGTAATAAATATATTAAAAATGAAAAAAATCTAGCTGCTCTTGATAACAAATTATTTTGTTTTTGCATATTCACATGTACATGTTGCTGAAACTTTTTATCACAGAGTAATTGCAAACCTACAAAATATTTGCTATAAAATGCCATCAGCTTATAAACAGCTTAACAATATTCAAGTCAAAGTCATCTAAACTACACCATGGTAGGCAATCAACATAATTCTTGTCTTTGATAAAAAAGTGTTATTAAAGAAGTTATGTATTGGTAACATTCACTTATTGTTTAGTTTTGAGTTATACAGCCAAACATCTTTGTTACCATCAAAGGTGTCTACTTAGGACTTCAGTCTTTATGTCACTATTACTCAGCTTTCAAGAACAGCAGCAAAATAGCTTAGAAAATAAATGTAGGATAGAAAAGGCTTCTTGGAGTGATGATTTTGAAAACAAGCACATTGATAGGTGGCTCTCTTGATTTGGAGGCTGTGGAAGGAAGCACAGAGCATCAACGTGGGAGCATGTGTTGGAACAAAACACTCAAGTGGTCAGAATAGAAAGGACAATTAATAGGGAAAATTGGGTTCACACAGTCCCCATTGTAATGATTTTGTCCTTAAAGGTCTACACAACTTTCCAATTGTACTAATCTAGGGTGTTACACATGAAAAGCACCGCAAATGCAAACTGTAGAGAAATAATATAAATGCAAATGGATTTCTTTCTTAACCACCAAGTGCCTTCTTTATTGGTGAAATACTAAAGCCACCCAGAGACAGTGCTCCTTTTTTAGCCATTCAGCAGCTCATCAGAAGAGCAGGCACGTTTGAAATCACAGACCAAAAACCTATCACAAAATAAACTTTTATTCAAGCCAGACAAGATGCAACTAAAAAAAATGTTTCATGAAGAATACAGATTAGTGGCACATGCCTTCAGTCCCAACACTCTAGAGGCAGAAACAGGAGAGATCTGTGAGGTCAAGTTCAGCCTGGTCTGCATATCAAGTTCCAGGCCAGCTGTGGCTACAGGGAGACCCTTTCTCAAAACAAAAGCCCAAACTAAACAAACTAAGGAACATAGATTGACAGAATATGACTCAAAGGAAAAGCTTTAACAAACATGAAGTACAGTGACTGTAAAATCAAAGTGAATTTAAATGTTTCAACTGACAGAAAATATTTCAATAGTAAAACATCTATATGAAGAAACACTTATGTATAAATGTTATATATGTTTATTATTTAATCCTTCTCAAACAGTGAGAAAATGAGACATCAGACTTGATAATCACTGAAGCTTAAATCATATGAAGAAACATCAAAAACATTCAAAAGGAAATTCACAGACCTGAGTTTTTGGAAGATCAGTGATCATAAAGATGGCAGTCTAGACAGAACTAATGAAAATCTCTTAACTAAAGGATGTGTTACCAATATGAACATATGACATTTTGATGGAAATAGAAGCATGAATTCATACAAATACACAAAATATGTTAAGTACATGAAGCCATTCTCAGCAGAAAATAAAAAAGCAGGGATATTGGAACTCCTGAAGGTATAACAATACCTGACTAAACTAATGAACAGAGTTGTAGGAAGAAACCTAGCCTGGACCTGGCACAAGAATGGATGGACAGGTGAATGCAAGAGAACAGAAGCCCCCGAAATAAGTCAGGCAGCGGCAGTTGTGGGATATAAGACACAGGTGCCAAAGGCAAACAGGAGGGGAAAGATGAACTTTTCAACAAAGCGTGCTCATATTCACATATAAAAATATGATACTAGATCCCCATGCCTTAACCTTTAGAAGAGAACTCTTTAAGATACAGGCATCTGCAAAGACTTTCTGTAAAAGAAACCAATACCTCAGGAAATAATAGTAAGAATAGGCAAAAGAATGACA